ATCACCGACAGCGCAAAACTCGATATCGAGCAGTAGTCCGTGCCCTTGTAGAGAATGGCACCTGGAGGGAAGGCCAAAACGCCGGCTCAGGAATACATCGAGACAGAGCAAACGGCATCGAGAATCCAGACAAACGCCAATCGAGATTCAAGGTGCACAATTCAGACAACAACCTGCAGTGCAACGGAATCGATTTGCCGCAAACACAGCACAACAAAACGACCCTGTTGGGCGCTGACATACAGCTGCATACAGGCCAAGCGTGCATGGCATGCGCCACCCACCATCATCCTGGATGTTGACCTCCACACACTGGTCTTGTCCAACCGTCCATTTGTATCGCCCTGGATTTATAAGCCTCGCGTTTACCACGTCGGCAAACGTGGCGCGCCCACCAGCTTCATTCTTGGGATGGCTAGTGTGTTCCAGAACTACCCGATCCTCAGGTGCCTCAGCCGCATGGACCGCATACATTCTGGCGTTGCGCAAACAGCACCGTTTGGCACTGGGGCCCGCAACGAGGGACGTGGAGCTCGGGGCCTGACCACAATTAACACACACCTCGTTGGGTGCCAACACTCACATATTCTGGCTACCGCACAGCACTAGCCGGCAGGTTTGCACAATGGTGACAAACAACGGAGGATGGGGAACAATGACCGCATTGGCAACAAGCACTGCAGCACATCCAGGACAGGCGGCATGAAGGCTAGGCTGCAAGAAGTTTGAGGGGACAGACGCGTCCATGCAGAAATTGCTCTCTTGACACAATGTTAGGGAAACAGTGCTGACGAAGGCAGGCAGGGTCGAGGGGTAGCGACCCCTAACTGGGGACCACATGCTCGAGTACAGGGCAACGGTTTACAGCCGAACAAATGGGACAACAGGAGTTCCGCCCCTTGCATCCAGTCCGTTCATTAATGTCCTTACTGCGATTCCTAATGCCTTTACCACACCTCTATGCATCCAGCTGTTCATGGTACTCGATCAGTTCCATTTACAACAGTGCGACACACGACTTGCATTAGTGTTGCTCCACGCAGAATGCAAGGGAAACCAACACAGTCCAGTCTCGTCGAACTCACCCTCTTCACTCGCCAAACTCGCTTTCTTCCACTCGATCGCAACCGCATCCCGTTGGCAACCACGCGAGACCAACTCTCTTTCCTTGCTGCCCCTCTCTTGGCACGCACAGCCCTTCCAGCACACTCCGAATCGGCACAGTGTCCCAGTCTGTTGGGTCCAAGTGCAGCTGTCGCATTCATTGCATAGGAACCCATTGGCAAACGTCCGGCCGCAGAGACTGGCTGCAAGCCAACTGCACCCAACTTCCGATGCCCCTGCCGCTTCTGGAGTGCTGCCTTCCTGTTGTGTGGACGCTTCGACCGGAGTTTTGGACCCCGACGTTTTACCTTCGTTCCTGGCAGCCAGGAGCCAACACAGAGAGTCAGCGCCATGACGATGAGTAACGAAGCCAATAACAAATCAAAGCAGACAGCTGCTGATACAGAGGACATTGTTCTAGCCTGACCTTGAGTGTTGCACCATTCCACAGCACTACGAGTACCGTGCCCTTCTCAGTTGGACAATATTTTGCAGCACAACACGATCATTGCCGCTGCCATCTGGCTGTCAGGGAGCTACCCTGAAGCGGTGCACTGCAATCGCACAGCGATATATAATAATATAATCATATAATATAATCATATAATATAATCATATAATATATATATAATGAACATATCCTTGGCAGAAACACCAAACCAAACCAGGGTGGCCTCTCCTAGCAAGTGCCATCACAACTGGGTGAAGTCACAGGTTGCAATTCAAAGAAGCACAACAGCGACATCTGCCGCCGTTGCCGCTGTTGCTTTCATAGCGTAAGTTCACAGCATCCCTTCTGGGTTCCTTGAGTGCAGGGAACATACAACAACGCCATGTTGTTGTTTGCGCGTTTCCGTCCTTTTCATTCCTTTTTACTTCTTATATTTTTATTTCTTATTTCCTTTTTATACTTCTTTCTTTCGGTCACTGTCTGCATTCTCTGAACACAGGTGGCGAGTGGAGAAAGAATGTATGATCATGGACAAGAAACACTTTGGATATTTTCTGGATACAGGATGCATGCCCATGACAGCCTGTAAGGAACAAGGGCTCTGCTTTGTCTTGTGAAGACCAAACCAGCGTAAGGAATTTGCACTGTGTGGCAATTCATCCCTCACCTTGTTTTGGCAATGCGAGCTTTGCCATTGGTCTGCCTTGCACCCCGGCCATATCTTCCCCATCCAGGAGGAAGTCGCTGACATCCTCTGGGCCTGAAGCCTCAGAGCCCGTGTTCCAAGGCAAGTCCTGTTGCACAGACAGTGTGTCAGGCAACCTCCAGTCGGCTCTGCTTGCACCCAGTACCTTTGGGTTGAACCACATGTTCTTGATGTTCCTTATGACCTCGGCATCTCTTGGAGGGGCACGTCTGGACACATACAAGGGTAAGCACTCAGCGTGTGTTTGTCATCAGCATTCAATCCCTTGTGAGTTCACATGTACCTCGGCATACCTCCCATCTGCTGGTTCCTTTGCATGTTCTGCCCAGCAAAAACAAAGCCAGTGCATGGATGCTTACATTGTGTATCATTTGGGTTTTACATCACTCTGTACTTTCTTTTAAAGTGGCACAGGCTCCAGAACTCTTCTGTGAGGGCAGGGAAGGCGACTGGACTCAATGCATGTGATGCAACGTTAGAAATCAAAATGGGACACAAAAATTTGGAAACTGGCTTGGCATTTGGTGGTCATGTTCAAACAACAGAGCTCAGATTGCCTGAAATATTGGCACAAGAAAGCATTTCGTTTCCATCACTGCCAAGAAGCTCTTCACATGAGTGAAGGTGTGTCAGTTATCACGTGGATGGGGGTAGCCACCAGAGTAACAACCATATCATGAATTATGCGTTGGAACTTTGTTGGCATACCCATGCACAAATGCTACAATTCTTGAGGGCACCACACACTTGCGGTTGGCTCGTATTGCATCCCTCATCTTGGTCTTGAGGTTGGTGTGCTCCAGGTGGTGCTCACTGACATACAAGTATGCGACATCAGTGCGAGGAAGCTCGTCCGCAAAGGCCTCCCAAGCCGCTAAACTTGTGTGGAAGTTCTCTCCTACATATAGGGCCCATATCCGACGCTGCTTCAGCACATCAGTCAGCAGCTCCAGCTGCTCATCGTACATGCCCTGTGCAAAAACACACGAAATGTTGGAGTCCATGGGTGCCTCGCCTATGCTTGTTCACAGGGGCTGCCACTCTGCATGACATGCTTCCCAAAACTGGAGTGCAGCGCGACAACACACGTAAGTGACTTGCTTTTAGTTTCGCTCTTAACACTGGTAGCTCTCGAGTCAAACATGCAAGACTTTTGAATTGAACTCAAAAAACAGCACATTCCAAAATACATCCAATGCAATACACTTATATTATACTGCTATATCACCCTTTCCAAATGTATGGTTCATTTCCACAAATGCTTGCATCACCATTCTCCAACACATGCACTGTGGCAGCAAGACTGGCGGCAGCACCTAATCAATCACTCGTTGCAAGTTCAGCAGATACTGAAAACCCACAGCATAATGAACCATTAACACTGTCCATTGCTGCAGGATTTTCCCTCACCAATTCAAAATTCTGGATGTACAGTGCCTCCACTAATGTGTTCTCCTTGAGCGCCTCGAGCACCAAGTTGATTACGCTTGGTCTTGCATCTGTCTTCAAGTACTGCTTCAGGCGCAAGATACGACCTTGAGATTCAAACTCGGTGAAGTTGTTCCGAATCAGGTCACACAGTCGGCTGACGGACTCGTTCTGTGACCAATCGAACCCAGCGCGTTCAGCAGCTGAAAGAAAAGATCAGGAATTCTGTCATCCAGTCTTTCTGAGAGACAACACTGGCATCCCTGCAAAACGAGATCCAGGGCTGTGAACATGTATGCAGATCAACTAGTACTGGACAGAGACAAATGTCAATGATGTAGGTAGCTGACAGCAACAAACACCAGGTTAGCCTGCCTGTCACTGTGCCCCCTGTTTCCTAACTACTGTCAGAGCAGTTGTTTAGCAAAAGCCAAGCGGTACAAAAACAACCAGGTGCTTTCTCCACAAGCTTCTGAGTGAAGACAACCAAAGGCCAACACAATGTGGTGGCCTTTGGTCATCACCACACCATGTGGTGACCACATGATGCACTTCATTGCCAGGGCAGGTGGGCAGCCCCAACAAGTACAAACACCTCTTCAGCACAACACCATGCTGAGCACAACAGACATGACAATGAGCAAAAAAGCAACAGAATGAAGAGAAAGAGTCGCCACAATGGGCCCCGAAGCGCTTCACCTGCAAGGGGTCACCACCAGGCACTCGTTTTGGCCGTCTTTGTGCAATGGACAGGTTGTCGTTGTTCTGCATGTCCTCCACAGCTGACGACCCCGTCTTCACCTCTGATTCCCCTTTCCTGGGGGTGGCCGCTGGGAGTGCAGTCTGCGATCCATGCGCCCGAATCGACCCATCCATCGCCATCTTGCCAGCACCTCCACCATCAGCACCACTCACCAGCTCAAGGGCATGTTTGCCAGCCTCCAAAGCCTGGGTCTTGGTCTTCTTCGTTTTCCGGGGGCGCTTTTGGCCCTTCGCACCCAACACGCCCAGGGATGCACAGCTCCCGGGTGGTCTTATCTTCTTTACTTTGTTCGCCTTATCACCATCGCCACCCAGCAATCCCTGACTGGAAGGACCAGCGGATGGAACCTCCATGGCTGAGGTCACTGGGACCAGTCCCAGCATCATGTTGCGCATCCCTTCCGACCCATGCATGCCTGCCAGTTGCTGGTGGCCCATCCCCAACGGCACTGGTGCCATGCTCACTGGAAAGCCCTGCGCCACGCCCGCCCCAACCTGTGGCATCTGCCCCGCGAAAGGGTTTGGGTAAAAGCCACACGTCCCAGGCACAGCCCCAGGGATGTGCATCCCAGGCCCAAAGGGGGCGTACCAAGGTGGCATGCTCTGGCCTGGAAAGAGGCCGGGGAAGGGCATCGGGGCAGGCACCCCTGAGCCAGCACCGGGAATCGGCAGCACTGCCTGCCGCAGTCCAGCTGGAAGCGGGCATGCCTGGGACTGCATGTGCTGGCCTGGTGCAGCCAGCGTTGTGAGCAGGCTGGCAGGACTTGTGTGCGACCGTTGGAGGGCAGGGAAGGCCCCCTGTGCTGTGGGCACCCCTGGTTTGGGCTGACCAGGGGCAGTTCCCTTGGAGCTGCCGCTAGGGCCCATCACCTCCTGTCCACAACCGCTGGGGGTTGCCGGATCAGATGCCAAACCACCTGCCAAGCTGTTGTTTGCTTCTGGCCTGCCAGGCACTGTGACGGCAGAAAGCGAGCTTGCACAGATCCCATCGGCTGGGGAGCGCTGCAGAAGATTGACATCGGGCTTCCCCACGGCCGCATCAATGTGTGAATCATTTCCTTGGCCAGAATCACGGTTTTGGTTCTCTTGCTCCCCAGTGACCGCAACTTTCTCTCCATCCACCTCCATATCTGTGGTCGAGCGATCCACAGGCTGGCCCATGGCACTGGTGCCATCAATCCCTGAAGGCGCGCAGCACGCGCCACCCTCAGGAGCCACCCCTGATGCAAGGCAGCTCCCCTTCTCGGCCATCGAAGGAGCACACCCAACGGCACTCACCCCCCCACAATTTCCACTCTGCTCGCACACTTTGGTGCCTGGCTTCACAGACCGCAAGCAAGCCTCCTCCCCCTCCCTGGCCCAAACCTCTTTGTTGCTGTCGCCCCTCCCTCCAGCTCTCCCTGGCTCTGTGTCCGGCAGAACACAGGGCTGATCTCCCTCTGCCACCACAGGCACCTTCTTCTCGGTCCCCTCTGAACACGCACGGTTCTCTTCGCTCCCCTCCGAATCCCCCCTTTGGCTCCCCTGGCCCGTCCCTTGAGGGACGGTCCCGCCCCTGGGCTCCAACCGCCCCTCCGCCGATCCCGCCCCGGCCATCACCTCATCCACGGGCTTGTCCAACAGGCAGCTGGCCACGAAATCCTCCCCCGCCTGCGACTTTCTCCTGTCCTCGCTCGACCCATTGTGGGCACCCTGATGGCCCATGATGGGACCAGGGAAGGCTTGAACCTGCGAAGGCTGCTGCTGGCATCGGGCCTGGGCTTTCTGCTGGCCGGCCAGCGGGCCGGTGGTCCAGCAGGGGAAGCCCGTGGGCGGCATCATGCCGAACCCGAATCCGGGCGGGCAGAAGGGGTAGGGAACAGGGTAGGGAAAGCCGCACGCGCTGGGGCCGACTGTGGGGGGCTGCGGGTCCACAGGGGGGGGGCGCGGGTCGCTCTGCCGCCTGTCCGCAGCGTCGGCCTCCGGGAGGTCGCCCTCCGTGAGTGAGAGCTGGCGGAGGTCTTCCAGGCTGCTGTTCCGGGGCATCTCGGCCTTGGGCGCAACTTCGCCGGACGCCATGGCGGTGGGGTTCCTGGTGAGGGAGCAGGCAGCTTCATGCCAACAGCCAAGCAACGCCAAAGACAATGCTGGCACGAATTAACTGCCGTCCAGCCCATTGCGCCGGCGCCAATGCCAACGCCAGCGCCAGCAAATAGCAATTTCAGCCGGGGTGGGGTTTCTGGGAAGGGAGCAAGCAGGACGGGCGGCTTCATCCCGACGGTCAAGCAATGCCAAAGTCAGTGCCGGCACCATTAGCTGCCGCCCAGTTCATTGTGCTGGCGCCACTGTCAACGCCAGTGCCTACGAGCGGCAATTTTGTGGCATCCACGCAGCGGCAGCTCTGCTTCGTCGCATCCAGCCCAAAGATGCGGAACCGTGAGTGGGGAGACGTATGCGTGCTTGGGCTTGTTGCAAAGAGAAAGAGGAAAGGCCATGCCAAGGGTGCCCTCTCCACAGCACCTGTGAAAGAGCCTCTTTTCCGCGCTGCCAGCGGCGTACGCAGACCAAGCGACTTGCGTCAATCTCCATGCATGTCCGCATCCGCCAATCCAATGCTCGCAACAGACCAAATCGAAAGGCGCTGGTCACGCCGCAACGTCAACGTTCGGCCACGCCGCATCCTGCCGCCACGAGATGAACCCCCAACCCGATCATCAGATTCGCAGGCTGGCAGCGCCCCTGACAGCCAACGCGGACGCGACTGGCGTGATGACGTCGAGCGTTCTGCCACCGCCGTGCCGGCGTCCAGCAAGGGCGCCTCCATCCCAGCGACGAAAACAAACATCACAACAAATGACGGACGTTTTTGTCGATCTCATCGACGGAAGCGACCAAATCGACCGCTTGCATGGCCGGTGCGCGGGCCTCCGCGGCCACAAACACACACACAGACACAACTAACGAGAATGTCTTGGTCGATCCCGTCGACGAAAGCGACCAAACCGACCCCTTGCTTGGCCGGTGCCTGGCCTCCCCTGCAACAAGCGCCTGCCGCAGACCCCCCCACGACAAGTTTCCTGACAGCTGCGCGAGTCTGACCAGCCGCGCTTATGCACGCCCCACCGCCTTGCTGGAGGCGTGCGGGGTTTGCGCCCGCCGGCCACCGCGCCGCCAACACCGCGTGACAAAACGGGGACAGTCAGAGCGCTCAGACAGCAGCACGGGGGGCGGCACAGAGCGCCGCGGACAGCTCCGGAGTGCCGCTTCGGGCACGTTGCGCGTGGCCAGAGTGGCTGACAGGGCGGCCGATTCACTATTTCGGGGAGAGAGGGGATCGCGGCATGTCGCGCGAGATTGGCTTTCGTGACGGTTGACCCGGCCGCGAGGATCTCTGGAGCGGTCGCGGAGCGGGGTGCGGCTGCCCGGCACGGGCCCAGCAGGGGGGGGGGGTGGCGAGCACATCCGAAACCCTAGTCAACGAGCGACGTCGTATGCCCGGGTGTACATTGCGCCCGCGCCGCCGCAGCCGCCCCTGCGGGCATCGCTCAAGGACCCGACGGCCGCATGCCAGCCTTTCCAAAACGGCGCGAAGGCGACAGCGGGTGGGCGGGAGGGGCCGCGCCGGAAGTTGCGCCGCCCGGTCACCGCCCGCGTTCCCCAAAAAGGAGGGCAGGCGGGCGCAACGCACCTCTAAGTGCAAGATCCCCGAAAGCGAGCCCCCGCGCCCAAATCGGCGCGCCACGCGCCCGGAATAGGGTTCGAAAAGATGGCCTGCCCGCTGCCCAGGCCGCACGCCCGCCCTCGCGGCGCCGGCCCGCAAGCTCGAAAGTGGGCGCGACGCAGCCGCCACGCGGCGATCCGCGATTCATCCCCACCTGCGCCCCGTCGATCGCTCAGGCCGCCTTCAGGCCCCCTCTCCGTCGTGCCGAACCCAAATCGGCAGCCAAAATCGCCAAAGCCACCGCGCACGCGCCCCGAAAAGGACAAACCGAGTCAGGCGCGACCGCGCGGCGCGGAGTCAGATTGGACCCGCTAACTGTGGCCAAAGCATGTCACGCCGGCCTTCATCGCCGGGCCCCCTTCACTGGGCCCCTTAGCTGCGGAAGGGCGAGCAAGTCACCCTGCGGAGCCAGCGAGCGCCCAGGTAGCCGTTGAAATGGCGCGAAAAGGGCGAGGCTGGCGGCGCCTTGTCCTCGGTGGATGTGTGGTTGGTTGTGTACGTGAGCCTGCGGAGTCCGCACCACGCGGGGGGCCCGTCCAATCCCCGCGCGCGTCGAATGTACTGGCCCCGTGTCGTACTTACGGCAGAACCTTGGGCCTTGCCCGGCCACGGGGCTGACTCTGTGGGGGCAGTGGCGCGGCAGCTTGACGGCTGTCCGTCATTCAGCCGTCCAGTGGGGATACGTGGGAGCCACGGCGGCACGTAGGGGGGGTGTGGCGAACGATGAATCTTGATGCGGGTGTAGTAACACGTGGTCAGGAGGGGTGGCCAATCGGGCATGCAGATACGGCCCGATTCCGCTGTCACACGTCCACACCTTTTCGCGATCTGGCCGCCCACTGGCCGCCCCGGGGCAGCGTGGAGGCCGTGCTGGTGGATTCGGCGGCGCGGCGCGATCGCCGGGGGGTGGCCGGAACATCGCTGGCCATGGATTCCCGCGCCCATGCTGGGCCGGGGGCGGGTTTAGGTTGCGCATGTGGATTCCCGTCGCCTAATTAGGAAAAGGGTCTTGGTGAGCCACCGCCCACCACCTCGATCCACACTGCAAAGGAACGCGTCAGAATGGTGGAAAGCCCGCTGGGTGCAGCCGGCCCTCGCTGATTTGACACTTGCCCCAACTGCACGACGCGACAGCGCCGTTACTTCGGCAAGGCTGGACGCCTGCTGACGGGAAGAGAAAGCAGCAAGAAAACTTTGCGAAAGCACAGCGGCAACACTTCAAGCAATGTCTACGCAACACGGATAGAGGGGCGCCCAACTTGTGACGTCGTCGCCCAGTGGATGCTGATTTGTGACGGGCGAGGTGTTTCGCCCAAGGTGCGCCACCGTAGAGCGCTCAGACATGGTAAGAGAAACAACCGCATGACCACATCCCGGCGACAAGCTGGGATGGAAGCCGTTCACACGACCAGCCGTTGTGTACAAACATATCCATTTTCCGGTGCCAGATCTGTGGATCCAATTTAGTCCAAAAAGGCAGACTTCGTGCTCAGAGCACCACAGCTCATGAAATTCACTCATTTCGGCAGAATATGTGTCACAACTGCTTGAAAGCTTAACTTGCGTGTTACGCTGTACATTAGGGATTTGCACTTGGGTGTGCATTAGTACACGCTTGCGTCCTCCCTCGCTGGCGCTATCGTCGCTACAACACTGGTCCACGTGGCCACACGCAAGATGTGGTTGGCGCTGAAAGCGCGGCCCCGGCGGGGCGGTCGCTCTTGGCCCTTTCGGCACGCCGTTGTCGCACGAGCCTCCCCTGCAGCTGTCGCTGTCCGCCGGACCGGAAACCTTACTCGCGCTTCGGCGATGTGCATCTCCTGCTTCGCTTTCGAGGTCCACAAGGATCTGCTGTTCTTGCTGGCCTTCAACCGAGACGAGCTGCTCACCAGGCACGCCAGAATGTGTTAGTGCCTCTGTCTTTCCCGTCGGGATCCCTTCTTCTTCCGCTGACAAGGCCAATGCCGGTCGGTGGGTCAATGTTTTGGGGTTAAGGGTGTCCGAAACAAGAAGGGTTCTTGACGAAAAGACGGAGCGACTAATTTCATGGCCTGGGCACGTACTGTTCCCGTCACAGATGTCCGTTTTCTCGACGGCCCACTGGATGCGCAGCACACCAGGCTGCGCCTTGCCAATGCCGACAACGCGGTTTGCGCACGGAGGCAACCCATAGCACGTGATGTTGTCTCGCGCAGGGGCGCTTTGGAGGGCTGCAGGCTGTTCCGCGTGCTTGATGGTTCTGGTGCGCCAGTGTGCACTCAGTAAACTCTGCAGCATAGAAGTAGGCTCAAATGCTTTACGGGAGAATGCGCTTGGCTGCTTGCTCCTTTCTTCAGCGATCGCTCCGTAGTCATTTGGTCTGAAACCGCCCACAACAAGGGCTGCAATTGAGGCGCGGCTGCCGTTGTGCCGCGCAAACTCACTGGTTGCACTGGTAAACCGGGCAAGTGACTGCCCTTTCGCTCGTATGGCGATGTCGGGGGCTGCTTCCAAGCGCAAGGGTTGTACCCCAACGAGTTTTCGTCGACGACCAACTGGTGCTGTGGTCGTCTTGCAAGAAATGGTCGTACTTTTAGCTGAATCGTGGTCGTTTTAGGGGTTGGAGCCCCCTTTTACCGCAATCAAGGCACTAAGAAAACTCATAGTTATGCTGCATTGTTATCAAGTTGTTGTGGACATTATTCCCTTTCAAATAGCCTGTCTTCCAGTCTGTGTGCACTTGCTTGTGTCCTCGAATGTCTTTTTCTGCATTCCACAATCGTGAAGTCCGCGCTTTGGGCATTCGGGATTTAAGTTCACTGGCGATTTGCCATAACAAACACCAACTGATGTCGCATAACAGGTGGCAGCACAACAATTTGTCAGGTTCAGACAAATGCAAGCAATGAAAATTTTGACTACAGGCACCAGTGGCAGTTGCCTGGATGTTTACCGGGCTTTTCTGGAGCATATCCAAGTCCAGCATCACTTCCAGCAGCAGTCGCGTGCGCTTTGTGCAAGGAGTCGTCGGCCTGGGCCGCGTATCTGCGAGGCAGTGAACGGAGTCGCTCTTTCTCCCTCACCTTGTTGCAGAACAGGTGTCCTTGATTTGCACTAGCAGGACACCATTGAACCCTGTGAATCTGGCTTGCTGTCAGGGTCACTGCCCCACCTGCCTTCTGGACTGACCATCCTCAAATCCTTGGTGGCCGAGACAACCAACGCCAAGGCACTTGGCTGGGAGTGACAACTTCTGGCCGTGTGTCATTTGTCACAAATTACAAGGAGGTATGTGCCCCCAACGTCTGTGCTGTGATCCAGTTCCCCCTCAGGGTGAAGCATGAAGTATGGTATGATGTTGCACGTTGTGCACACCAGCGGTGACTGCATTTTTTAAAGCAACAACACGGAGGAAGATGTGATGGGCACTCTCTGCAGCTCAGAATTGTGTCCTGAAGGCTATGCTTGTGCTGATTGACCCCCTGGCATGTGTAGCAGTTGCTGGCAATGACACCAACTTGATAGCATGCCAGTGTCAGTTGCAGATGTACGCTGGTAACTCTATTGTTCACTATCATGACCGTAGCGTTTTGGTCTGGAATGCTTGCTGAAAGTTTTGATGCAGGTTTGCCCTCCCTGTTGTTGGTGGCTAGCATTTCTGATGTGCAAATCAAAGGCAACAGAGTGCATGGAGTTTTCTTATATACCTGTTCCACTGGACGAGGCAATGAGCTCACATAGCCAGCAATCCTTAACCCAACGCCTGGAGACAGGCATCAGGACTCTTGGGATCCAGAGCAGTTGCATGCGATTTGCATCAGCAGAAACTGCCTTTGTGCATCGTATCTCCACACCATCTTCCCCAATCAACTGTTGTTTGAGCCAAAGGGTGAACAATTGTTGAATAGGGAAGTTGCTGTGCAAGTAGGAATCAAGTCAGTTGGTTTTTGCACATGATATCGCATACAGGTGGAAACTCATCTGATGTCTGTACATGGCATTGTCATATGCTTCTATGGTTTTTTCCTCAAGACCTGAACAGCCACATGTACTTGGACATAGATGCGCATTGTTAGCTGTGTATTCACTTGGTGAAATGTCCTGTTTTGCATCATCACACAATGAATCAATCGATGCATGCATTTACAGTTCAGCCACCTGCTACAAGGGCAAGAGCATAAAAAACAGTGGCAAAGTCTTTGCAGCACAGATGACAGCTGGGTAACGAAGGGCATTGCCTCCCACATTTGGAGTCACCAGAGACCACCAGATGTCTCTACATTTTAATGAATGTGCACACCAGCTGCCTTCAACGCGAAAAGTGACACAATGGTCATAGTGTGTGTCTCTTGTTAACGAATGATGGGACACCATTGGCTATTCTAGCAGTCTACTGAGCCCACAGTGTTTTGCAGAATGGTCTGTACAATTGTGTCCACACACTTGATGCTTGTGGCCTGTAGTCTTGTTGTTGAACAATGTTGGCACTTAAACAAAACATGGCCAAGTAGACAGCTGTCTTTGTCGTCATGTGTACAGCGAGCCAATGGACATCCCAGATCACCGACCACCCGTGGAGGCCTCACTGTAGACTTCCTATTGGGAGAAGAACAACCATTGACATACTTGGAGGTGAGACAAATTCTAATAGTCACTGACCTCAGAAGGAGCAGTCAGGTGGAGAGTGCTGTTGTTGCCATGAGCAACATTCAGAGCACCAAGAAATGAATGTTGAAACATCGCCTGAACGAGCTGGGTGGAAATCCATCTCGTATCTTGTTTGCATGTAGTGTTACAGCGTGAAGTGAATGTTTTTTTTTTGGACTGTCAATTTCTTTTATCAGGGCGGACTACAAACTCTAACTGCAGTACTTCTTTCAGCCAATGTTACCAGCTCGCATGTGCCATCCTAACAATGCCTGTTTTGGGCTTTTGGCTTTCTGGGGACCTGTGCAATTTTGTGTGCTGTGGTTGACAAGATGGACTCTTCTGTCCTTGGAGCTACCACCATGAGGTCCTTGTGGAAAGCAGCATCCCGATGTTGCCAGATCATCTGAGTTGAGACGTCTGCTATGACCACTTTGCTATTCAGGTCACCTGTGCAGGATACATTCATTCGCAATGCGTGTGTTGGTTATGTATAGAAGTTTGCTGGTTTGGAGTGCAATAAGAAAATGTCTTTGCTGTTGCGATGTTCGCATATCACTTCCTTTTGTGCAAACTTGAAGATTTGCAACCCAACTATTGGGCAACTACATTGTGCAGTTGTCTTCATTCTGGGTATCCTCGGAGATGTTGTACTTTCTTGCTGTTCCATATCTGTAATTTGATTTACAAACAACACAAGTATCTACACAACAGATCGAGACAGTTCATGTAAGTGCACAACAAAGACCACAGCAGTGTGGATGTCCATCGTATGTTGATAATAGCTGATGCCTCCTGCATAGATGTGTCCAAGTTCTTCACAACGCTTGACTTCTTAGTTTCTTTCCTTTCGAATTTCTTGACAGATGCTCACGGAAACAGCTGTGCAAGCTCAGCATTTTGACAGCCTGTCACTTGCTTGTGATGCTCTTGCAGTCTTTGGACTTGAGCAAGTACTCAGGCTTCAACCTGGTGGTGGCGGACCTCCTCTCGGGGTCAGTGGCATATCGGTGCAACCGCAAAGATACAGTGCCTCGGACAATCGGCCCAGGGGTTCATGGTGAGTGAAGAGCATGGGATAAGAGACAGAGAAAAACCTCAATGTTGAGCAAGATCTGGTCCTTTTTGTCGTGTTGCTGCTGTGTGCAGCCAGTAGTGAGCAACATGTGCAAATTGCGGCTTTGTGTTTGGATTCCAATAGGTTTTTGCAAGATGCAAATGTTCAGTGCCCACCCCTTCCAACCGAAAGAGATGTGCGCCTTGTGCCATTTCATACATTATGTGTGCTGGTTGATGAGAATCTTGAAGATTGGCCAGATGAAATGAATGCAGAACATCAGACAAGCCGATGAAAGGCTTCCCAAAAGCGCTCAAGCCTTTTGGATGTGGGCTATACACAGAACCTCGCACTGAAAAAATGGCTGTAAATTGTGAACAGGGTAAAGAATTCGCCCTGTTTGGAGCCCGAAATTTGGACCTCCTTGAAATGCAGTTAACTCGCAAGTGTGAGATTTGCAGCACTGCAACACTGGCTTTTGCATGGACAGCCACTGCATCAAATGGACAAATCTCGGCAGGGCCGATCAGGCGACGCCCAGCTTGTCCACATGTCTTCGTCCTGTTGCCACCTGTTCTCGGCCATCTCCATCAACCCTGTTGTATGTGGTCTCCAGATCACTCTTGCCGGTTTCTCAGCGACCTTTGGTTTCACCAAAGAGCTTTGCTGGCCAGTTGTTCATTGCGACTCTGGCATTGTCAAAACAATGTGAACATGAGCGAACACAGGAAAGACATTATAACATTCAAAGTAACAACATCAATCATTCTTCAAGCAACACATTTGTAAGTGACATTGTTCATAAGCCTAAATGTAAGAGAATGCTATTCCTGAATGGATGTTCAAGTATCTGAAGTTTGGAGGACAGTGGCGAGAAATGGCCCATTGCACAATGTTGTGATTGCGCGATGTGGCTTTCCTTTTAGTGCATTCACACAACCGATGCACTATATATGCGCATCCATGTTCAATTATGGCAGTGTTGTCTTATTCTAACTTACTTCTCATTATTTTTGTTATTGTCATTTAACGTATTAACGTTGTCATTTAAAGGTGAGACATCATGTGAAATGGTGCATTGTTGGTTTCGGGTGGGATTGTTCTGACCATGCGCAAAATGCATGGCATCAATCCTGCGATGTTGTGCAAAAGGTGCACATCGTTACAGGCTTTGAAGTGTAATACAATCTGTCTTGCCATGAATGCAACGTATTACAAGAAATTGCAATGAATGGTCGTGTGGTGCTGCGGAGTCGCCACTGATAGAATGACAACAGTTATGTCCCAATAGCATTCTAACAGGGTCAGCGAGTGTGCCTCCGCAGTGATGAGCAACGGTCACATTGACGACACGTGGCCAAAGATGAAGATCTGCAAGGAAGCTCTTGTGCGTGTTCTGAACAGCGGGGAAATAGAGGGTATGTCAGCGCATGCGCAGGCGGGCCCAGATACGCGCCCTGGGAAACGGACGGATACGGTTTTTATACGGATTATTATTGTACGATTGTTTATGGATACGGTTGCCTTATACGTGCTCCAGGAACTGGAATACGCTTGACAACGAAGCGGCGCCACATTTTCTTTGCTGCTATGATCGCAATTCGCAAGGGACGGCAAGACTGGGAGTCGGCTTTCTATTCGTGGGCCTTGCAGACGTTGCAGGTGGCGCTACAGAATGAATGTTTCCACGCACCTTGGCGGCATTTCAGTCTGTGCTTCTGTTGGGACCTGTTCGATTTGCAAATGGCCGCAATCCATTTGAACATAGACCCGATTGGCAGGCGATAAACAGTGGGCAGCGACCATGCCATGCTGACCGGTTGTTGCAAACTCTTGTGCAGGTCACAACCTCCCTTGGGAAACTATTTTCAACGACGTGCTGGGGCAGGCCAAAAGAGTCGAGGATGAGTCGTTGCTGCCCAACACTGGCGTTGGAATCGAATTGGAGAAAATGGACAGTGGAGTCTTCGTAGAGCCCTTTGACAAGCAGGTATTGCCTTTGTTGATCACAGCAGTGGAAAGTTTATGGCACTATGCGCGTGAGCAGTCCTCCTGTTTGACCACTGCTTCATCGATGGGCCTGCTGTTTGCAGCACAATCAATGGCAGTGCGGACGCATATCCAAGCGGATGCCTGCCCAAGAGTTCGTGTCAGCCTTGAAGCGTTTGTATAGAGTGGTCGGACGTGAGAAGTTGTGAGTCTGAGCTGCTCAGCTCACAGATGCTGGGCCCAGAAACTGACTGTTGAGAAATGGCCAAAGAATTTCAGACAAGAACTGCTAAGAATCTTTTGCGCATATGTTGTACTAGCACACCACACTGCTACTGGGCAGCACTTCAAGGCGCCTTACACTTCCCAGTACTTTGCCGGCTTTGTAAGCTGCAGCGCAGGAACCACGTGTCTCGCTGCTGTCAGCGGATGTGACAGATGTATATCACCAAGGCTGCAAAATCCCCCAAAGTAAAGAAGCGCATAGTGCACCACGTGATAGAGCATGATGGTTGCTGCCTCGCAGAGAAGCTGCATACAATTAAAGTTGTTGACGAGTGGCACATTGAGCAAGGCAAGCTTTAACCAACCACTGATTCGCTGTGCATCGGAGTGCCTGGCGGATTTCACACGTGAATAACTGACTGGGTCTGTGCCAGACTTGATGTGGACGCTGCAATCGTTGGCTGAAACTGTAGTCTCTGGCAGTCTCGTTTTGGTGTTAGGCTGCACTTAGGGCTGACATGGTTACAGTATCGGCAGGTGGACTGCGGTGCTAATTGGATGCCCTGTGCAGTTGGCTAACTCCAAATGGTTTGCCACCCCAGGATGGCTTGCACGGGACGCGGTCGCAGACGGTTCTTGCGGTTTGGCGTGACGGCCACGCTGAGTACCGTGAGAGGTGGTTGGACTTTCCGACCGGCCAGTGGCACGAAGTAAATCACACTTTCGCCATTGGCCGTGCTTTTGAAGGTTTGCCTCATGGGGACGAGCTATGAATGATGGCTGTATTGAGCATTGCAGATTCCAGGCAGTGTTCGAATCCCAGACTAGTCCTTGTGCGGGCTTGTACACTGTTTCTTGGCTCTTTGTCGTTCTGCGTCAAGTTTGTGTGAATTTATTCAAACGGCCATTGTCGTTTTCTGAATTTGGAGTTCCTCATTCCATGTCTGGCTCCACAATTGACCTAGGATTGGACATTGTACAAAAGTAGCGTTTGAAGACGAGTTGTTCTTTTCTTGTAATGGCCTGGCGGCTTTTCAGCATGGCTTAAAATGCTGCATGGAAATACCCTGTCAATCAGCAATCTTGAAATACAAGCTGCCCGTTCACCATGAGCAAGCAAACAGTGGCAAGGCCGTATTGATTGCCAGTGTAGCCTCGTTGGACGGCCTGGTGAAAGTGCCAGCACGCACAACACTCCGCCATGGCATGCGCAAGCGTGCTGTTCGAAGTTGCATTCGCTTTCCCAGCACATCGTGCACTTCGGATGGTGATCCCATTATGGTCACTACAAATCACTGTCTTGAGTGGCGACCATCGGAGCCTGCCATCTCGAGCCTCGCGCGCACAAAAATCTTTCCTGCCGTTGCCATTCAATACCTTCGCCTGGGCCGCCATGTACGCTGCGGCCGCTGACCGTGGCAGCTGGTGCTGGCACCCCTGCGAATGGCCCGGGTGAACGTACGAAGCCGAGCTGTTGATTGATCCACCTTGCGGTGTCTAGTCGCACAAGGGAATAGTCGTTACCCAGACGAGCTTAATGGCTATCCAGACATCTTTGCCGGCAAACTGGGCGGCTACCCTCGCCAGCCCATGGGGCGCCAACCGGACTGTCAATCATTGGGGCATTACCACCCTTCAGGTGGCCCACACTCGCGGTGCTGCGAAAACTCAAGCGAACTGCGCCGTGCCAGTGGGGCCAAGCGGACGAGAGCGCGGGGGCGTCGGAATGCCCTGGCTACTCGAACCCAATGGACTCTTACCTGGGAGCCAACACTCCTCCAAGACCTGCGGCATGTTCGCAGGCGAGAGAAAAAATCAGCCGAATCGGTCACGATGTTGGAATCTGGTCGTCAACGATATGGCAACCGAACACACAGGGCAGCACATCCTGAAATGGCCTGTTCGTTACAATGGAACCCCATTGTTGTTCGCCCCGTTAATACACCCAAACAACCAAGGCAAACACGAGGCGGCCTCCTGGGTGGACGACAATATATCAGTCCCTCTGTCTTTTCCGCGAGGACCCCTTCTTCTTCCGCTGACAAGGCCAACGCTGGTCAGTGGGTCAGTGTTTTAGGGGTTAGGGGTCCGAAACAAGAAGGGATCTTCACGCAAGAGACAGAGGGACTAACAAAATGCCCCGGTGGCCTCCCTCCAGAGGTTTGTCCGATGTCCATCGTTTCCAGATATGAAGATCGTGAAGGGTACGAGGGTATGCAACCCTGCACCTTCCGTAAGAAGGTGCCCTAAAACCCAGAAAAGAGCGAAACATTAAAACCTACTTCGAAGTAAAACCCAAGCCCTTAAAAGCTTGCCTT